GCCTCCCGAGGCCTCTCTCCTTGTGTGTGGACGGCCGTCCTCTCCGTGTCCTCACGGGGCCGTCCCTCTGTGCGTGTCTGTGTCCTGATCCCCTCTTCTTACAAGGACCCCGGTCACACGGGATCAGGGCCCACCCTTGCCTTAAGGTGAGCATGTTACCATAATCACCTCTGTGAAGACCCATCTCCAGATACAGACCCTCTGTGAGGTGCTGGGGGTCAGGGCATCAACGTCGGAAATTCTGGGGACACCATTCAGCCCATGGCAGCCACCCGCATGGCTGCTGGGAAAGACTGCTGACTCAGGACTTGGGAGAGAAGAAGGCGTTTCACCTGGAGCTGCTTCATCGAATTCTGGAATGTGAGTGATCGGGACCTAGGGCAATGCCTGCTGCCTAAAAGAGCACCACTTTTCACTTCTTACTTATGTCGTATTCATCTCACTTTTTCTCTCCCCAGGGGTGAGGAAAGAATTCAGAGACGCTCAGGGAGCCTGTCAGTGGGGTGGGGTGTTCAGTATGAGGGAACGGGAAGGTGGGCAGGGAAGGCTTCCTGGAGGAGGTGTCCATCCCACTGCTTTTGTGAGTTTTCATCGGACCTCAGCGCCACAGAGAGTCTCCCGCTGTACTTGTGAACAGCAATGGAATATGGAGGTGACCAAAAACGAATCTGCCTGGAGGTCATCCTCCTTCCTAGATCAGTCCCAGTCCTGGATGAATGAAGTGGGCAGCTGGTCTCTGACTCGGGAAACTCAAGCCACCAAGCAAGTCCTGTTGACCAGACAAGAGTGGGCGCGGCGTCGAGTCCCACAGTTGAGGGCCCTGGCACGAAACGGTCAGTGGCTTGTCTGAGTTGACTAAGTGGCCCCGCTGGGGCGTTGCAGATTCATTGTCCGAATAGGAAGTTCACTCCTAACTTCGGGGGCTTCTGACTCTCTTCTTCGTGCGTGATTAAAGCCTCCCCCCCCCCACCTCCCCCCACCCCCACCAGCATCAAGGTGCTTGCCCGTTTGTCCCTTGGGGACCCCTGTGGAGACCGCACTTTGGCCGCGTCTCTTCGGGCGCTGTAGCAGATCAGCGGGGCCTTGGGTGGCGGCTCCAGAGGTTCTGTTGTGGGTGATTCCCGAACGTGACCTTGCTTGCGCCGCTCAAGAGTGATGGGCCGGGGAGCGCAGGCACCCGGGAGTGCTCGCTGAACCCAAGGCTCAGTGACAGGTTGGCTCCGTCTTTCCCACCAGGATTCAGCGAGCATGTGCCATAGCAGTGGGGGAGTGCCCCCGGAATGGCGGGGTGCTCGCTGAACCTGCCCCCCGGTTTGCGAGCTCTGACTCGTCTGTCGTGGGTTGAATTGTGTCCCCCACAAAGAGCTGTGCTGCAGTGCTCGCCCCGGGTACCTGTGGACGCAGCCTGATTTGGAAGTAGGGTGTCGGCAGGTGCGATTAAGGCACGAGGGGGGATGGGTCGCACCCAAGTGACCGGCCTCAACGAGGAGGGGGGACTCACAGGGAGGAGATGCCGTGTGAGGCAGACACGCAGGCGGGGCCGAGGTCGCAGCCGTAAGCCGGAGAAGGCCAGGAGTGCCAGCAGCCACTGGAGGCAGGGAGAGAGCATGGGCCGTCCCACACCTTGGTTTCAGACCTCCAGCCTCCACAGCTCAGCCCCAGCATTTATATCGGCAACACGTTAAATCCAGGAAAGGCAGAAAACGTATGGACGCTGCTGTGGGTAAGAATCCTTGAAAACCAAATGACAGGATGCCCATATCAGACTGACTTAAACAGTAAAGGACAGCGATGGTCTCCTGGAACAAAAGGGCTCTCACTGGTTTCAGGAAAGGATCCAGCAGCTCGTCCGGAGAGCTGGTACCTTCTTTCTGGTTTCCCATAAGACCTGCTTCAAGCTTAGATGCCACCCCAAGGCCCGCAGCAGCTCCCACAGGGTGGTGGGAGAGCCGCCCCAGTGCCCAGGGTCCCGTGGAGGACAGGGGAGGGCTCTCTTTTTCAGAAGCCCCAGGAAACCTCTCTCCCTGTGTCATTGGCTCTGTTAGACTCCGCATTTACCCTCGAGCCTGCCGCCTTTCAACACCACCACCCCTGGGCGGGGGCGGGCAGATGTGCTGTTGGGTTTGAGCCC